TCCGCCGACTGAAGACCACAGCGCTTGGCTTTCTTGATTCATGACTTTCTTTCCGTGTACACAAATTCTTCCGGAGGACTTCATAGTGAACTCTGTATTCTTTATCTTCTTCCCTTCTCGGCTATCGTCTTTTTCTTCTCTTTCTTCTCTCCGGATATAGCAAGGTCAAAAGGTCGTAGCCTCGTCACATCATAACTTCCACAAGTTCAGTCAGCAAGCCACGAGGGTCAGCCCTCGGGCAAATCTCTTTTGTACTTCTCACAAGCCAGCTTTTATACATTTACTTTAGTTATCTAGAATGTTCTATTACTATTTATAGCGTATTACAAGTTGTACTATTTTTGGAAACTGCTGAGTCACAGGAAAGAAGTTTCTGGAATATTACAGATTATAGATAATTCTAGAAAAGTCTGGGATTGCGTGACAGAATCAGTAAAAATAATTCGATCCTCGTAACACATGCAAAACAGAAAAATCTACCACATCTCAGAACGTAAAAAAAATGTAGCACATTTGAAACCCTTTGTTGACTATACAACCTGTTACCGAAGTGCTGAAGGTTTTTCCTAAAGTATTAATTTGTATGAGCTACTTTTTTTTTTGAGATGTTGGGGAGAAAAAAGCATTCATTGATTTTGTCTTTAAGCTAGTAACGAAGGGGTCCAGTTGTTCATTTACTCGATTTCCGTTTCAGTTATCTAAATGGAAACCCCCTACATTGCGACTGTAATCTAGAGTGGCTTAGGCTTGGCCGGAAGAGTCTGCCTGTAATTCAAGATGTGGATAATATTCAATGCAAGACACCTTATCATCTTCGAAACAAACCTCTGAACTCTCTTTCTGACCTCTGTAGTAAGTTGTTTCTAAGTAGGGTAAGGTTTGGTGTCTCAACGAAAGCTGCAATCATCGCAAAAAAAGCATTAATAACATTGAAGATGACTTCTCTAATAGAGCACTTTCCCTCGAGTGTGAAGGAGCCAAAACTAAAGTTATCAAAGCGACCAATCAGAAGATTGGTTTTACTTCACTCTATTATGACACTGATCCAGAAAACTAACAACCAATCACATGCGAGACTACAACCAGTCGCGGTTTGTTCACTCCCATTTTCCGGCGCTCCAGTCCTTTGAGTTCTCATTGGTCCCTTGGGGACATTTACCTTGGTTTTGATTGGCCGATGTGATCACTCTGGTTTTGGTTTTTACGACACTCAATGAACCTCGTTCCCAGGGCGCTATTCCCTTCAAAGAGGGGGCGGGGCGTTCCCTCTTTAAAGGGAAAAATGCCCTGAGAACGAGGTTGGACACCGAATCAAAATGTGCTTATATTTGTGAAATACCTACTTAAAGTGTGGTTCAAATGACATAATACATGACTCATTGAACGCTTGAATAATGTATCAAAATCACATTTTTTTTCAGGTTAAAAATGGATATAGTGTGACTTTGTGGACTGATTAAAAAAACCTCTCAAAGTTAATTAACTTTCTTTTTTTTCTGCTATTAGGTAATGGTAGAATTATGCATGATCGCAAAAATTCTTTGCCAGACGACGAAAAAAATGATATAGCAGAGAATGAAGGTAGGGAAATTTGTTACTAATCTTTGCACTTGACTGGCATGTGAACATCGTCTCAGGACAGATCTGTTCGGTTAGTTCACCATTGAAACAATAGCTAAGATTCATGACAGAACAAGAATCTATTCATCATAGGGTGTTTGACGCTAATAGATCGCTTTAGCCACACCACAAAGACCAGAACTCTAAACGTTTTTCTTTTTCCTCGCTCGTCCGAGAAATGAAGTTAAGTTGACAATGAAAGAAACCTCGGCCTTAAGAACTCTGCGAAATAAATTGAGCACATCTCATGTCCCAAGGACTGCACAAATTAACCCCTTGTCGTTGTTGTGATCGTTAAGAAATAGGGATGTAGACGTTGTTTTAATACTAAATTCTTATCACAAGGAGGAAGATGGCATCCTCATTATTTCGTTTTCTTCAGTGGCTTTTTGCTTTTTCATTCTTTCTTTATACGATTGCAGCCAAGGTACATGTATTTGTTTCCTTTGTTTTATGTTAATGAAATTATTACATGCGTTCGAATTATCACAGAATTTATCTTTTTTCAATGACTGTCGTATTCTCCCCTTTGAACAGATGACAGCAATAAATGCAGCAATAACGATGATTGCCCTTCTGGAAAAGTTTGCACTAACAATAAGTGCCAGTGTAAGGACGGCTACCACGCCGAGGAGGGGGGTTGTGAGGACGTAGACGAATGCCAGAGGGGATCTCACATGTGCTCAGAGCTCACTACTATATGCAAGAACACTGTGGGAAGTTACACCTGCAAGTGTTCAGAAGGTTACAAAATGGGGGACAAAGAATGTATTGGTCAGTATGTGCGCTAAGATTTTAATAAATTAGATATTTAGAGCGTTTTTCGGTTGAGTGTTGTATACCAAAACCAAAGTTTTGGCAACGGCCGATCAAAAGCTAGGAAAATCCTCTTAGGAGCCAATAAGAACTCAAAGTTTAAACAATCAAAACTGGCTAAAGCGCGGGAAAAACGCGGGTTACCAAGTCGTGATTGGATTTAGTTTGTAATCTGATTGGCTGAAAAAAGTGGAGTTTTCTCGACCAATCACCGAGCGAAGTAAAGCAAAACCAAAGCAGTCCCGGATTACTTTCCACGCTCATTTGAATTGTACTATAACGAAAGATGTAACCCGTTTTTATCGTGGTGAAAGACAAGCACTGGGTAAAATCAAATTCTCTACATTTTTCTGCAAAGCCACAAAACTAAATCCGAATCATACAAAAGATCTGTTTGGGTTAGATTTTTTGTCTACTCTGTTCTCTCTCGATATAAAGTGAGAGCTGTACGTTAAAAGAGATACGACAAGAAATCGAGACGAGACAGGGTGCGTCATCCTTTAAAAAATTGTGAAATTGGCTTCCCTCTTCATTCCCACGGCTGTAAAAGAAAAGCAACACAAGACAAATAATCATAAAACACACAAAAAAAGAGAAACAACTTTAATCTTGGGTTGGTTGAACAACTCAGCAACTTGGCTCTTTTTGAAACGAAAGCACAGGTATTGTGACAATATTCCAAAGATTTTACAATAAAAATCTGCGATTTAATATTGGAAACGTTACACGACGTTTCGACGTTTCCAGAACGTCATTATCAAGTGAGAATAAAATGACAAAACTAAGATTTATATAGATGAGAAAATGAATAAATTAAGAGTCATCGAGTCAAACAAAGAGCTTAGCCTTAACGGAGTCACTCTGGGTATTTCTTTAGAGAAACATCGCAATCATTCCTTCCTTGAAGATGATATACTTGTCTCGTACAATGTAATGTCACTGTTTACAAATGTTCCTGCCCAAGAAACAATCAACATCCTCGTTGATAAAGCGTTTACCAATAATTGGTTCAACTCATCGCAATCTTAACATACAGAAGGATCAGCTTGCTCAACTTCTTAGAATGGCATCCACAGATCAACTATTCCAGTTTGATGGCCAACTTTAGGAACAGTGTAAAGGAGTTGCGATGGGATCCCCCCCCCTTGGTCCTTTATTAGCCAATGTGTTTATGTGCCATTTGGAAGAAAGACTATCTGATAAGGATCTAATGCGGCGGTACTTTGATGACACGCTTGTGATAATGCCTGGACCCGATGTAGCTGAAAGTTTCCTTGATGTACTCAATGGACTCCACCCTAGTATTGATTTTAATATGGAGCTTTCCAATAACGACTCAATTCCTTTTATTGGAATGTTCATAACGAAGAACGGCAACAAGTAGGAGACCAAGGTCTATCGTAAACCTACAAACACGGGCCTACTACTCCATTTTCAAAGCCACACCGATGTACGCTATAAGAATTGTCTTGTTAAAACAATGGTTTATCGTGCCAGGGAATTGTCCTCTACGCATCAGGCATTCATCGATGAATGTAAACATCTACAATCTATGTTTGCTCACCTTGGATATCCAAGTTCGTTAGTGAATGGCATCATTGATGAATGTGAGTATTCCCCAACACGAGAGGCTAAGACGAAACCTGTTACAGGTGAAACTTTAAGAGCCAGTATCCCGTTTAAAGATCATACCTCAGCGAACTCAGTTAAAAAGCAGATGCGAGATCTCAGTTCATAAATTGGCATTGATGTACGACCGGTATTCACCAGCAAGAAACTTGAGCATGATCTTAAATTTAAAGAAATCAAGCCACCTATTGTAAATCAGCACAGCGTTGTTTATTGTTATAAATGTGATTTGTGCGATTCAAATTATGTCGGATATACGACACGCCATCTATTTGAACGCATTGCTGATCATCCGGCGATAAAAATTCTGCCATTGGTCGTCAGCTCAAAGATGCTCATGGGAACGTTAACTTACTCAATGAGAGCCAGTTTCGGGTGCTTAAAAGATGCAGCACGGAATGGGATTGCCTGGTCAACGAAATGTTGTACATAAGAATAATAAGACCTAATTTAAATACCCAGAGTGACTCCATTAAGACTAAGCTCTTTTGTTTGACTCTCGATGACTCTTAATTTATTCATTTTCTCATCTATAGATATCTTAGTTTTGTCATTTTATTCTCACATGATAATGACGTTCTGGAAACGTCGAAACGTCGTGTAATGTTTTCCAATATTTTATCGGAGATTTTTATTGCAAAATGTTTTAACACTGAAATCTTTACTTACTCGAATATTACTCGAAGCTTGGATATATAGAGGATATTATATGGTCGCGCGGAGATACGAGATTTCATTTCTAGTTTTCGCGAACTAATGAAATATTTTTCAAGAGGAGAAGAGAAACTTCATATCTTCAAGCGACCATGTAATAATAATAATAATAATAATAATAATAATAATAATAATAATAATAAAAATAATAACAATAATAACGACTTTATTGGTAGTACTTCCACAAGGTAGCCCTTCGCGTACTAATGACCTAGCTACAGTATCTTATTGCAAAGAAATATCAAACCAAAAAAAAAATTATTACAATAAGATATATACAGTTAAAAAAAAACCGGCATGGTTAAAAACAATAATGATATACAGTTATACGCTTACTAAGTCGGAGAACATGAGCTTCTTCGCTAACCTAGCGAAATTGTTATAAACAGGCTCTTGCCTTAAGCTATTTGGTAAAGTATTAAACAATCTGGCTGCTGAGTCCTGAAAATATTCCATTTATTATACAAACACCTATGAAATACCAAACCATTTCACTTTCGCTTCGAAAGACGCGATTTACTATGTGACCATAGCAACGTTGTTATTTTCACGTGTGAAGATATCACGTCTTCGCACAAATACTCACTTGACATTTCATTGGTGTTTACACAATAGTCTTTTAGTTTTTTTTATATCATATCAACTTTATTTTGTAGATAAAAATGAATGTGAAAACCCGGACGTTTGTGGCAAAGGTCCAAAGTGTGTCAACACGCTCGGTTCTTATCAGTGCAAATGTGTTGGTGACAAGGAAGTCGGGTACGAGTATGTCGCTGACATGAAACAGTGTATGGATGTCAATGAGTGTGCGCAGCAGCTCTGTGATAAAAACAGCACCATATGCAAGAACTCCATTGGCAGCTATAAATGTGGATGCAAACCTGGTTACAGTAACATGAAAAAAAATAAATGCAAAGGTGGGTATTGAGTTAAACGACAGGAATTTGCTCTGTATCTATAGGTAAGGCGACACCTTCCCGAGTATCGATCTTAATCTCCCACAATATTCACTCCTCGCTGCATGAGGACGCTGCTTTACCATGTGATCGCTTGTTAACGGCTAATTAATAAATTGGTTGCGCTGTTGATCCATCAAAATTGATAGTACATGTACCTATGAAAGATGAATTTTGAATCTTCACAGCAATTGAGGTTGTGTGATTAGTGTAAAAAGTATAAGGCCGTTAAGAATCAGTTCACTTTACGACTTGTAGTGGTTCACTTATGCATACACTTCTGCTGAGTATCGAAAGTAGTCCTGGGTCTAGTTGTTCGAAGGCCGATTAGTACTAATCCAGGGTTAAATTTTGATTCAGGTTTCCTTATTTCTCTATTCAAGAAATGAGATAATTTTATGAGATAATTTTCCCAGTTCATTTTAGAGCATCCGAAATTCTCAAATTGCAGACACAAAATGATTAAACTGAACTTTCTCCTAAAGCTTTCAGATCTGAAATCAAATTTCACGCTAACCCTGGGTTAACTTAACTCAGCTTTGAACAACCCGGCCCTGGTTTATATTGGTTTTGCTTTACTTCGCTCTCTGATTGGTCCACAAAACTCGTGTTACCCCGACCAACCAATCATATGAAAATTACAAACCAAACGCAACGTGGTAATGTTCATTTTCTCGCGCTTTTAGCAGTTGGTTTGTTTTTACTTTGAGTTCCCATTGGCTGTTTGAGGTTTCTTCCTTCGCTCTGATTGGTCAATATAACTACTTTAAATTGCTTTGGAAGTGGATGTCTGTCGGTATGACGTTAAGAAAATATTCCCAGTCAAATTTATCTGCGTTTTTGTAGCTTATTGACATTTCGGAGAGTGACACTAGTACTTTATAATTTATTCTTATTGATATGTCCCAG